ACGGATGGCCTGATTCTTGTCGGCACCGGCGTCCACCAGTGCGCGGACAATGTGGAGATGTCCCTCTTTAGCTGCAATGAACACAGGTGTTACACCTTCTGGTATCGCTGTGGCCTTATTGCTGTCCGCACCCGCTGCAAGCAGCAAGTTGACTACCTCCAAGTGATCGTTGAGAACTGCAAAGCACAATGGTGTTGCACCGCACCCGTTTCCTTCACTGGCTGATCCTTGTCAGCACCAGTGTCGACCAGTAAGCGAACTATGTCTATATGGCCTTTTTGAGCTGTCGCTAGCAATGGCGTGAAACCATACGTCGTATCGGCCTTGTCCTTGTCGCACCCGACTTGAATCAGAAAGCGAAGAAGCTCCAGGTGGCCATTTTCAGCTGCGACAAACAAAGGTGTCGTGCCCTCCTTATCTGCCCTATCCTTGTCGGCCCCAACTTCGAACAAAAAGCGAACAACTTCCAGATGGCCTTCTTGAGCAAGATGCAATGGTGTCACAGTGACCACACTGCCATTATCCATTTGATCTTTCTCAGCCCCAGCTTCCAGCAAATAGACTGCCCCAATGTGTCCGTTCTGTGCAGCATGGTGCAATGGGGTCATTTTTTCAGGATCTGTGACGTTGGGCGTTCGAGGGCATTGAAGCATCGTTTCCACGGTAATTAGGTCATTATTTCTAGATGCTGAGATGATTTCCTGGTTTTTCTCCATATCAGGTGGCCAAAATTCCAACTTGAGGAGCTGGACCCTCACTTGAGCACAAGGAAAAAACTCCTCATCTTGGATCTCCCTCAGACCATCTTCCACTAACAATCTTTGCCTAAATCTGGACACACCAGTCTGAGTAGCAAAGAGTTGTTTCACAGCCTTTGCAGGCTTTTCTTGAAAGTCATCCGGATCCAGTCAGCATATCACCTGATGCCATGAAGCGCACTTCCATTGCAGTAACAACAGGAAAACCTTGCCAGGAAACAGGACCATGGAGCTGCAGGTGGAAGCAACGACATGAAAATCCTTGACTCAGCAGTGCCATTTTTGTTGGCTCTCTGCTATAGGTCTTTTGTGACAGACACTTCATAAACAGCTAATATATTACCGTAATATGTACTGTATACTTACATATCGTATATACACCATATCATACGACGGTATACATATTGAGTTATTATGTCTTGTTGTTTAACGGTGGTTTTTAACAAGCTCCCCTTTTGGCTTAAAATTTCAGGGATCCTCCCAGGTGGAAATATGTTGAAAGTATCTTAAGACAGGCTGATTTCATGTCAACATTGTCAGTCTAAACTCGGCCACAACTCAGGAGCCGATATTTTGCTGAGTCTCAAGCCGGAGCCGCAGCTTGTGACCCTCAGGACATGCCGGGGCCGATCATGGGAGTGGTTTCTTGGGAGATGTTCGAAAAGGAAACCATGGGGTTTTAGTCCCTAACTATAGAGAATCCATATATTTTCGTGCTTTATTCCCAACATCAGAATATATTCCCTAATTCAGAATCTAGTCCCAAATAACTATATAGAGAATCATAATTGTGTTTTTGTTGGGAATCGATTCCTAATTTTACGGGTATCATTCCCAAAAAAAGTAGAGAGTTTTCCTGCAATCCGGGTGCCGTGATTTCCTCCCAGAAATCACATGAATTTTCGGGCATGCCTCCAGTATGGCCAAAGCTGCACAAAAAAACACACACATCGGATGTTCGTAAAATGATAAATTCCATTTTTTAAAATGTACCTTAGCCCATGCCACCATGTTTTCTTCACGGATCTTCCCATGTGTTCAGGAACTCACCACCATGGATCCCACAAAGTAGCCTTCCAGGGTCGCGAATAAGGATGGTGTGCATAGGAGGTGAGTAGCCTTCACAGCTGCCAGAATCAGGCTGCGATGTGGGAACTGTGGCAACTCAAACATCTGTGGAAGTGCAACAAACTGGCTTTGGGATTTTGGGCAAGGATTAATTAATTGTGTGAACAGGTTTGACCTTTTGAACATCTTTGAAAATGGGGAATGTCCACTTCCATGTATCGTAATTCCAGATCAGGTCGTATTCTGTTTGGTACCTGAAAAGCAATCAAAAACAGCCCATGAACCGTTCAAGTTGTAGCATCTGGAAAGGCAACTCTGACAGGGCAACAACCACCCGTGATCAATCTCGGTTACGCAACAAGATTGCCAATAATTACTGTAGCTGGCAATATGTTCTCCTGTGGCATACCTTGCAGTCAACTAACATAGCTAGCTGGAACATGACCCATTTAGCTTGATGATTTACCTATACCCATAGGATCCATGTATGCTATATATGGTAACATTTACCATCAATATACCCCAAATGTTAGCATAAATACCAGCACCATGGATCCGTCATGGGATAATAACCATCCCAAGCCCCCGTCCCAAGTTTCGCATCGCTCCTCAGATCCTGAAAGCAACTTGCCCAAGTGCTGAAAGAGATCTGCACCTTGGTCCCCAGGAATCATCCAACGGGATGCTGGAGATGAGCATCCCATTGAGCCGCATGGCCCGGCCAGTTTTTTGTCGATGCTTCTGATGGTTAAACACCCAGGGATTCCCTCTGGTAAACGGGCTATAACATAATTATATGGAAAGATCCACCATGTTCAATGGGAAAATCCATGAAAATCCACTCTTTCTATGGTCCATGGCTTCAATAGCTATGTTCGATTACCGGAGGGTAATCATAGGGATGATGGATTTGCCCGGCGTCATAAAACATGGCGACCTGGGCCTGGGAAATCCGCGATCGAACTACATGGGGAACTCTCCGATCGGACCGCGGTACCAGTAGGTGGCCAAAAAAAGAGGAGCCCAAGCCTATGTTTTCCCCAAAATCCGATGGTTGATTAAATGATGTTTTTTTTTATGGTAAAACTAACTCTGTCATGGAACCATTCACCTGCAAAATGCGCAATACGGTTGGTACAAGTCGTATCTGAAGCTTCACCATCCCCAGGATTTGATGATACCTCTGAAACAAGGTCACATCAAATGGAGATCACAGCAGGAATCCAGGGAAACATATGATGTACAACAATATATAAAGCAATAATAGACAAGAAGCATATTTTAGCTATAATATATATATATTATATTATATATAATAATATAGCCTGTAGCTCACGGTGGTATCTCTCCAACAAGATCAACCCCAACCCCTTCCCCTCCCACTTCTTTGTTCAGCACGCGCACCGCGCAGGATTCTGTGTCAGGCCTCTACAAATCGTGTGTCTTTGCCGCAAGATGCGTATACCAACAAGAAAAAAAAAAGCACACCCGGCCGAGGTATCAGTTCCAGACCCCTTAAAAAAAAAAAAACGAGGAGAGAAACTTACAGTACTAAGGTTTACCCGCGGAATAGGAAGTGGCTTAGTTCACCCAAGATACTTCAGTAAGGCAAGTAGCTTAGGGCGGTTGTCCACGTACAATTGGGGTGAACATCAATGAACTAACCCAGGATTCCTGGAGTGAACCACCAAGTATCCACATCTCAAGTGCTTATCTTGGCCGCTTCCTCGCCGGCTCGCAGCTTTACGCATCGGCAATGTCAAAATCTATGTGCTCTGTACATGCACAAATTTCTGTCCACTCTTCTGTTCAAACCAGACATGGACAAATTTTCATCTATCAAATCATCGCAGCCGTGGCCGTCCGCAATCTGTACAGGGCACTCGCTGGTGCAAAGGCACATGTGCTTCTCTGCATGGTGGCTGAGCAGCCCCGTAAAAAAAAATACGAAAATCACTGAGTAGCACAATTTGTCCCAATTTTGGATCCCAAGTTGATTATCCTTGTCCCACAACGATCATCATTGTGCATGGGATTGGTTAGAATGTTTGACCACCCAAAAAAAAAATCGCCCTCCGGTAATCAAACGTGGCAATAGGAAATCTCCCATAAGTCTAGGCTTTAATGGGAACATCATCTATCAATGGTGCATTTTCCATTGCAATGTTTGATTACCGGATGGTAATTGATCATTTCATATGCGTAGTAAACAAAACAAAACTGTAGGTCCGCTGGTAACCAATTTCTGGCCCATTGGTAACCCATGCATTTTCCTTCAGCGTTAGGAAAGTGAAATGCTCGAGTTAAGCCTTTCGTGCCTTTCCAACAGAGATTCGCCAACTGGACAGCACCATGGCACCATGGATCTACAGTCCGATGTTCACGGATTGTAGCAAAGATTATTCGAGCTTCGCGGTGACATCTCACGGCCGATGGGTCAAAATAGGGGGTACGGGGTATCCAAGAATGAATGGATATGACTGGTTACCCTCTGGTAAACTAACAGTTTGTGAACTGGAAAATCACCATTTTATAGCTGGGTAAATCAACTATTTCGACTGGGCATTTGCACTAGTTTTTTGTATGTTTAACAAAGGGTATATCTCATTAAGTTACCAGTAAATCCCACTAAATCCCATTAAACCACCATTAAACCACCATTAAATCACCATTAAACCACCATTAATACTCGAAAGTGATAAGAGAAATTCCCCGGTCTCAGAACTTTTTGGGATTCATCCACAATCTCCACCATTGTTGGAGTGTTGTGTAGTACCCCATTGTCTCAGCCAGTGAGAGATGGATTTGGCAAATTTTGCGAGCGCAAAATCCATTTACTATACTATTGGATTTACATATTATATCATATTGTCCCTATAAATACAGTAGTATTTGATTGTTTATCAGTTGCAATTGCAATACCATAAATTTGTTTATCATCTCTATATTACAATTGCAATTTTTGGAGGTATACACCATGTTCAGACCCAACTTGAAATCCCCTTTGTTCGATTTCCCCTTCGTTCCATTTTCCAACAATGATTTGTTGGCTGGTATCTCTATTTTCCTCAGACGGTCCCCTTAAAATGAAGGAGAGCAATCATCATCTTCCCATATCTTGGTGGTGTCTTAAAATAGGGGTACCCCAAATCATCCATTTTAATGGGATGTTCCATTATCAACCATCCATTTTGGGGATCCACCATTTGTGGTGGGCCCCCTGTCTTCCCCATCTAATCACGTCCTTTCTTGGGGATCTCTCGCTCCATGTGATCTCGTACCGACGAGCTCTCGCTTAGCCCAAGCCATTGAGTTTCACCTCCCTAGGCGCTGGAATGTTCATGGCTTCATCCAAGGCCTGCGACCGGAAAACGAAGACAGAAATGGGTGTAGGAATGGAAAAACAAGAACCAAAATCATGGCGATGAAAAACTTAAAGCATACTTTGTTAAGCTACAAGAAATGATTTGGTAATTCATTGAAAGCATATATACTTATATAAGCAAAAAAAGCAGTCGGATGTTCCTCCAGAAAATGCTTAGAGAAGTCAACAAACCGATTAATTATTTCTCAAGCAGCAAGATATTGAACCTGTTTAAAAGTGCTTGAGTTATATGAGATTCACCCCAAGACTCAGGGAGGACAATTTCATCGAAAGCAGGGAAGAATGGTTTTTTGGAGATCCAAGTGGGATAAACATTCGATAAAAACACAATTATTAACCATCCCAATTTCGCCAATAGCTTTTGGTAGTCTAACAGTCTAACACGGCTGGAATATCCTGGTGCCTTCAGGTATCGCGCTGGCATGTGTGCCGCAGCCATGTCGGAAGAGATCAGCATCTCATCTACGTCTGCTTGTGATCCTGTGACCCCAGCGGAACTGGATTGGTCAATGTTTTAGTGCAAGGCTGCAAGATATCACCATACCGTTATTGTATGATACCATTCAAGGTGAGGTCCATAGTTTGCGAATCGTTGGTTTATAACATTTTATAACTAACATCACATCGGCTAAAATTGAAGCAGTTGACCCGACTGGAGTGGCGAACGACAGAAGGTCGTTCACTCCAGATGAGATCAAAGCCCCCTGACTATGAATTGGGATCATTTTCTCCCAAATTTGTGATTACCTGCAATTACATTAGATATGACCTGGATCTTCAATTGCTACATTTCTTATTTGCTCGTTTTGAGATTTGCTCGTTTCCAAAATTCCCATAAAGATTGGAAATTGAGGTGCTCGATATTTTGAAAAAATGCTCCTTAAGCTCTATTGGCCATACTTCTTTTCTGAATTTGCGCCCGATTGCGCTTATTTGCGCCCGAAATTGCGGCCATGTTTTTTGCTCCAAATCGCTCTCAGATATGGAAAATGCTCGCTATTTCTGATTTTGATAACGATCCTGGATATATGCGCGAATGCCCCAAAAGTACAGGGTAGCAAAATTAATGTAACGATTAAAGACCCAGGTATATATTAGATTACTATTGAAAATCGTTGCCTTACTCCCTCAACTGAGGGGGTGAAAAAAATCCTGGGTTGACATGAGTTGCTGACCACTTCTTGATTCAATGACAGATCCAAGCAGGTGAACTACAATGGATGCTTGAAACATCCATTGGCATTTGCCATGATTTGGCAAAAAGAAAACGAACACTAATATAGTTTGAAGCCATACTGTAGAATACTGACTCTTCTTTGATATAGTTGCTTGCGCCTCATCCATGAAAGGTCAAAAGAGCCTAAATACAGTAAGGTCTTGTGAACTGCCAATATTGGAAACACTCGTAACAGGTTATGAGACAAACCAAACAAAATGATTCAGCTTTTGGAATCATGTCGATTCTTCAACGAAGACAAAATCAGGCTTCTGATTTAGGTTATATAATATGGCGAAGCCAAGAATAAACTTCCACTTTAATTTATATATAGAGGCTTTCAGCACCCATTGGGGATGGTTTATGGCACTGGCTTTACCACATTATATCCCATGAGATTATCATCATTATATTATCATCATTGTCCCCATTATGATCACTATAATTACGTATTATCATAGGTCCTAGGTTTCCCACATGGGGGTTTCCATAAATGGGGGTTTCCCAAATGGATGGTTTAGAATGGAAAATCCTATTAAAGTGGATGATTTGGGGATACCCCATGACTTAGGAAAACACCACATTTTTTTCCATTTGTTTTCCCTTTCTTCGGCGTATCTCTCCTTCCAATGCCACGTAGTGTGGATCCTGCGAAGGGATCTCCGCCTGCAATCTCTGCCGTCGAAGCTGAGTGGGTTACGGTTTCCTTCTTGGTTGGGTTATACCGTCAACATGTGAATTTAACCATCAATCATGGAAATGAAAAAAAAAAACATTAAGATACCCTCTGGTAATTTAACATAGCTATTGAACATGGTGATTTATATATAGTGGAGTTACCCATTAAAAATGGTGATTTTCCATAGTTATGTTAGTTTACCAAAGGGTAATCTTGATGTAACCCTGTAAAATCCGAATCTCACGAATTTAGATGATCATATGATCATGTTTGAGAGTGTGAAGTGTACTGAACTGATAGCAACTTTGTACCCAAAATGTAGCTTTACAGTGCTACTGTGTACCTCAAACTATACCACTGTCTGATTCACTACATGAACAACATTGTTCAGTCT